GATGGTGCTGTAGTACTGGTACTGTAGTACTGCAGTAGTGGTACAAGGCGTGCCTTCATCCTCGTCCCCAGTCGGTATTTCGGCTTCTTAGTGTCATCTCACTCCCTTATCTATTTCACTCACCATACAGTATCTCTCTCTCTTAAACACACAATTTACATGTAAATAAATGACATGTCACACATGGAATGTTTACTGAAATACTATGCAGTATAAACACAACATAGTTATAATACATAAGACACGATATAAACAACATTTAAAATACTCCGTAAAATACTATATAAACAACACATTTTAAAAATAAACACATAAAACCGTGTGCTGTGCGTGTTCTCTCTTGCTTTCGATTCTTCCAACCAGATCCTGTACTTTTTAATTAATTCCTCCCCCTTGCCAACGATGCATTAAATTGATTGATTTATGTTTGTGATGTTCGGTGCATTGAGTACCCTGTAGAGAGGCGCTTTGTACACGCGATGCATCATCATTATTACCGTTGTGTGTTTAGGGCCAGGTGAATGGCACTATCAATGTTTTCGCCACGTTTCTCCACACCCACCTGGCTGGCATCTCGGTTCAAGCCCGACACTTCAGGTATAGTAGAGTACCGTACTATTAAAACACAGCAAATACCAGGATGCACGTGCCGCCTGAGATTTTGCATCCATAAGTGCGTTTTCCGTGCTGCATGCTGCAAAACTCGTTTGCATATTTGTCCCCTCCCCCCAAGAACTGCGCGTGACTCAAGGCATAGCAGTAATTGCTACAAAGCCGAACGGGGTACCTTTTTATTGTCTGCATGCACACACGTGCTTATTTGTGTGTGTGTGCGGTAGTGCAGCAGGGAAAGGCCAATCGAAATTGGGGGGATGGCCAATTTATATTGGCCTTTCACTTCATGGCGTTTTTAACCACCACAGCGGCGAAATGGGGGCTCTGGACGGCTGTGAGGGGCTGGTAACCCCTCCACCTTCAATTAATTACCACTAAACTACCATGTAAAAAAAATTAAGCTTGTGCCGGAGGCCCCGGGGGGACAGGCGTCTATGACGTCTCCTGACCAAACCCTATTTGGTGAAGCCAGGAGACTGAATCCTTACCCTCGGGGCTCCTCCAGAAACAATAAAAAGCCACTACGGATGACCACGTGGAATGTTCGAACACTCACTGTGGAGGAGAGGCTGCCACTCTTCTGTCGGGAGCTAGACCGGTACCGCTTGGATCTCTGTGGTATTCAGGAGGTCTGGTGGACCGGCTCTGACTCCTGCCACCATGAGGGGTGGACAGTCCTTGACTCGGGGCAGAAGACTGCCAAACAACAGGGAGTGGCTCTTCTTATGAACAAAATAATGAAGGGGGCGTGGGAGCGTGGCGGTGAGGTGTGGGAAGCTGTAAGCCCCAGGCTACTTGGGGCTCACCTTCCCATCAACCAGAGGTGAGGAGTGGTGGTCGTAGTTACTTATGCCCCCACTGAAGACAAACATCCGTGGAGGGATGCAAGCAAGGCCGATGAGTCAGATGCCTTCTATGACCTGTCACAGGTGCTGGCTAAAATGGCCCCTCGGGATAGAGTAATCTTGTTGGGTGACTTCAATGCCCGAGTTGGTCATGATGCTAGCACCTGGTCTGGAGTGATTGGAAGACATGGGCCAGATCAGCTCAATAACAACGGTAGGAGGCTGCTAGATGTTTGTGTAGCCCATGGGCTTGTAATCACCAACACGCTGTTCCGGCATGCGGCATCCACACAACATCATGGATGCATGCCGGGTCCAAGCAAGAACATCTGCTGGACTACATAGTGACGGAACAGCGGATGCGGGCCCATGTCCTTGACACCAGGACCTACCGTGGAGCTGATCTGCCCACTGACCATCGACTTGTCATCTGTAAGATGCGCCTGCCATTCTTCCACTGCCGTGGTGGGTGTACACCCAGGACCCCATTCACACCCATAGTGGCATGGTCTCAGTTAGCTGATGAAAGTTGCAAGCGAGAATGTAATCATCGCTTGCGGCTGGGGTTGGCATCGTCCCCCACTCCTCCTGATGTCGAGGAGAAATGCGCGAGGTTAGGACTGTGGCTCATGCAGCTGCAATGGCTGCTTTGGGTACACGGTCAAGACCTCCTCAGATACCCTGGCTGACAGAGGAGGTGTTCAGGCTGGCTGAGAAAAAGCGACAGGCCCACTCTCATCGTCTACCGCATCCCACGTCAGAAAATGAGGAGGCTTACCGCAGCCTTTGCTCGGAGGATCGGAGAGTAATGAGGTGCTGCAAGGATGGTTGATGGTCGCAGGTTGCTGAGGAGATGGAGTCTGCCTTCATGGCCCGCGATCATAAATCGCTCTTTAATGCCATCAAAAAAGTAACCTGCAGCGCCACACCTATTACCATCATTAGGGGAAAGAACAGTGCACAGATGCCATATTTTCTGTCCGTCTGCTACAGCAGAGGTGTAGGGAATTCCAACAAGACCTACATCTCTGCTTTATTGACCTGGTCAAGGCCTATCATACCATCAGTAGGCTGGGCTCTGGATTGTTCTTCGTGCTTTCGGAGTCCCTGACCCGCTGCGCACGATCATTAAGGACCTTCATGATGGTGATTGGGCCCGGGTAAAACGAGGTGGCTGGGAGTCAGAGCCATTCCCTGTACACTTTGGGGTGCGACAGGGATGTCCTCTGGCTCCCACATTATTTAACATTTATTTTGACCACGTAGTTCGTGAAGCCTTCAATAGCTGTACCAGAGGAATATCCATCTGGTATAGATACAATGGGAGGCTGATCGATCCCCGGGTGTGGTCAAGGGATGGCTCCCTATTGCTCAACCATGCTCAACGATGATCTGGTAATTGCTGCTCACTCAGAGGAGGAGTTGGAGGCACTGCTGCTGAACCTGGAGTTTGCCACTAATAGGTGGGGACTTACCATCAGGCCCACCAAAACTAAGCGCCTGCCTGGGTATTTTGTACCATCGCACACTCCACCCCCACAACTCCCAATTGGTGATGGGGCAGTTGTGGAGAGTGTGGAGAGTTTTATCTTACCTGGGCAGTATGCTCATGATCGGCTCCGGTTTGACAGCAGAGGTCTCACTTCGAATCAGTCGAGCGGCATTATCTTTTCATCGGTTGCGTAACGCTGTGTGGAAGCTACCTGGTCTGTCCCTCCGCACGGAGCTTTAGGTCTTCTCGGCCACGGTCATTCCCTCCCTTCTTTACTTATGCGAAACGTGGACCCCCCTAATGAAACATCTTCGCCGGTTAGAAACATTTATGCTGGCCTGCCTATGCTCCGTCCTGGGTTTAACCAGGCTGGATTGCGTGAGCTCACATATCCTTGAAAGATCTGGACAAAGTCCCATCGGTGAACTCCTCCGGCAGGCAAGGATGTGTTGGCTGGGTCACGTAGCCCGCATGCCCAGTCACCGCATGCCTAAACAGCTTTTGTTTGGCCGGATCGAGGGGGCTAAAAGGGCGCGGCACGGGCTAGAGAAGAGATGGAGTGATGTGGTACAGGAGGATGTGGAGCTGAGTGGACTTGCCGATGACTGGTACCAGCAGTGTCAAGATCGGCCTCTGTGGAGGAGGCTCGTGAAGGACGCTCCTGAGCAGTTCGAGGCAGTAGCCCTCCAACAACAACGGAGGGGGAGGAGCGACACTCACAATAATGAGCGGAGTGCCGGGTAGCTAAAGCACAGCAAGTTGGCACAGTAGGGGGCACAGGTGGTGCATAAGCCAGTCATCTCAGTCAGTCAACCCTTGGCACCTGGGTCTGCCCCGTGACCTCCTGCCCGCGGGCGTTCGACACTTCACGTGGCCTTAACGTGCACATAGCCTGGGACAACGTCGTGGTGACGTCACCGCCACTTAATGGCGAATGGCGGTTGTTGTTGTTGCTGCAGCAGTTAGCGCACTGCGTTATGAACCCAGCGCCCCGAGTTCGACTCCCGCTCACGACCAATAACAGTGGCGAATATTTGAACCGGTGTTGAGCCTCTCTCCTCTGTATGTGTGTTTCATAAAGGAACGGCACGCAGATCGGAAACCTTGGTCGGGACATGGGCTACGACTTTGACTTCCAGGAGACGCGCTACCTCAACAAGCTGACGTCCGTTCTGCCCGTGAGCCGCCGCTCGCCGTCTCGGCAACAGCGCCCGCGAAAGGATACACATTGAGGGGGGGTGGGGAGAGGAGTGCGTGGTGCGGTTTATATACACCAAGACCTCGGCCATTGCGTGTCAGATTTATTGAGGGTACAGTTCGCCAATCGCGCGAGACCTCAACTCGTCGCTCTTCAACCTGGAGCGGCGATTTGACACTTCCTTTTAACGGGGGGGGGGGGGGGGGTGTCGTGCAGGAAGCAGCTGCCTGAGCTGAGTTCCGAAGCACGCTGCGTCGTGCAGTGCGAGTCACTTCAC